TGACTTTGTGGTATTCCTTGGCTCCCGACCACCAGGATACCTTTCCATCAGAGCTGCATTGCTTACAGGACCCCCTCACATACACAGTCTATCATTACAGTTTATATAGTGCATGACAACAGTCATGTATCAGTTTCAGGATTCAGGAATAATATGCCCTGTTTGGCATGGTGACACAGACCTGGAATCCTAACACTCAGGAGGCTGAGGCTTGAGGATGACAGGTTCAAAGCTACATAGTGAGCCATTTTTTTAATGTTTAAGGAGGTGAGGTAGGGAATTGTGTGGCTATCTGAGAAAGACTGTTGACGCAGAGCAGGTAGCTAGCTTGACCTGTTATTACCTTCTCAAAAAGTCCTTTTCTGGAGCATTGGTCTGCACAGATGAGTCTTGTTGTTTGTTTGTTTTTTGAGACAGGGTTTCTCTGTGTAGCTTTGGAGTCTTTTCTGTTTTCCTACTTGCTCTTGTGTTTATCTCTAAGACAGCACATAGCTCTCTGTGTTTATCTGTGTACATATTCGCTTCTCTCCTTCAGTTGCTCTCAGCTTGAAAACAGGTGGCTCCTCAACACTGCTGTATGGGCCTGATATATGTAGGCACTTGGAAATGTTTGCTGAATAAACAAAGAGGGGCTCAGCTCTTGGCTTAGCTCTTATGGGCTGCTATTTATTTATTTATATAGATTATTTGTAAGATGGGCCTTGGGTGAAAGATATTAAATCCTAAGCCTAATTTTGTCTGTTTGGCCCAAGTCCCCTCTGTGACCTCTGAAAAGTGAGAGTTCTGGGCACTTCAAAGAGTTTCTGGAGGCTTCTAATGTCAGTGTTATCACAGACCTGCTAGCCTGGCAAATGGCAGATACAATATCACAAAGACCCATGTAGCTGAATTGGCAAGAAAGTAATCTCCAGGTGACTGGAAGTAAGAGCAAACCCAAAGCCACAGTAGCAAACCCATTGAGCTTTTAATACGCTTGTCACGGCTGCCAAAGCTGCAGGTCCTCCTGGGCTAGAGCACCTGGAATTGAGCTCACACTACCAGGACATACCCCTTGAGAATCTGTACCCTCTGTTGTGTGTACCCCTCTGAGGGTGAACTAGGGGTGAAGCCTCCTTCCTGACACAGATGAGTCACAAGAGTGTCCTTTCTCCTGGCCTTCAGGAGCAGGACAAACTTGCCTGGAGAATTGTTAATCACACACAATGTTACTCAACTGGGTTTGCTTTATAGTCATCTGAGTAACCCAGGAACACTAAGCCAAGAAATGAACATATGTGGAGAGCAGATTTGTTGAATGTGGGTGTACATTATTTGCTTTGGGCTGCTGAGACTATGATGTTCTCTTTACATGGGAAAGTGGACATCTGAGTACACGCACAGCTTGCCTGTGCCCTCAGCAATGAACTTGTATGCAGCCCCCCCCCCCACTAAACTGTTTGCTGTCCTTGCAGAAGTCATGGAAGAAGTATCAGCCTGCTCCCTCAACAGCACTCTGTTCCAGCAGGAACACCAGAAAGGGACCACCTACCGGATTCCACTGCTGCTCTACATCCCTCCCAGCCACACCTTCCTGGCCTTTGCAGAGAAGCGTTCCTCAAGCAAAGACGTAGATGCTCTCCACCTGGTGCTCAGGCGAGGGGTGATGAAGGGCCACTCTGTAGAGGTGAGTCATCCTAGTCATCCTCTCTCCTCAGAGCTGAATGCACTTCTGGGTCTGCCCCTCCCCCCCCACCTTTGCCAGCAAAACTCTGTGTGGGGAGATCAGGGGAAAGGAATAGAAGCAGTGGCTTTTACTGAGTCATTTCGTGACAGGGATCCATTGGATCTTCACAGCCATTCTGTATCCTAGGCACTGTTTTCAGTCATGTTTAGCACATGGGGGAACTGGACTCAAAGTGTTTGTCATTTACTCTAAGTCATGCATCTATAATCCAGCAGCAGAAACATCCTTCAAGCTCAGGCTCGAGCTCCCGAGACCTCTGTGGGGCATTCAGACCCTACATGGCCTGCTTTTTGTTTCTATACCCTGGTAGACCATGCAGGGAGGGGAGCACTGTGAGTTCAGCTTTCCCGGACACTTCATCTCCTAATCTGCCTGCTTCTCTACTTCTCACTGCCTGAGCTTCATATTCAAAGTGGGTGCTTTGCTATGTCACAGTGAAAATGTGACTCTGCTGAGCCTGTCCTTGCTTTGAATGACACTGGTTCCTGTTTCCTTCTGAGGAGTTTGTACTTTGAGGACTTTCTTTTTTTTCCCCCTTTTTTTTTTTTTTTTTTTTTTTTTTTTTTTTTTTTTACTGTATGTCATTAGACCTTCTCTGTAGCTTGCCAGGTCAGACTCCACAGATGCCCAGCCCTGTGGCTGAAAGAGCACAGAGTTCTAGGACAGGCAGAGATCAAACCCAGGTCATCAGGCTTAGCGCCACGCACCTTCACTCTGAGCGGTCTCATGGACCCCCATTTTTCTTTCTTTTTCTTTTTCATTGGCTGCTGTCATGTGTGCCAGATATTAGAGAATACAAATGCATATAATTTGAGTATTGTCCAAAAGGCTCATAGTCTAAAAGAGGAGACAGTTACCAAAAATATGCATAGTGTCCATACAGCTGCTGTACCTTGTTAGAAGGGTAGGTTTCAAGAAAGGCTTCCCAAAGGAGGTGACATTGGAATCGGGTTCTGGAGATGATTTGGAAGTCCAGGTGAAGCAAAGGACATTCTCGAGAGAGCACCGCTTTTTACAATATCTAGCTAGCATTATCTTTTCTTCAGATTTAAAGCCACCTTGTAATAGTTGCAAATTTTGTGATTATTTGGACCTTCAAGATTCTGTCCACTTCAATGTCATATATTGTTTGCAAAAATAACTGATGCTTTTAATGAGCCTTGTGTTTTCCTACTAGTAACCCTTTCCCACGATCTCCTTCTCTTCCCCTTGACTAGTGGGGACCCCTGCAGCCACTGATGGAAGCCACATTGCCTGGGCATCGGACCATGAACCCCTGCCCTGTATGGGAGCAGAGTACCAGCCGTGTGTTCCTGTTTTTCATCTGTGTGCCAGACCGTGTTACTGAACATTGGCAGATTAGGTCAGGCAAGAATGCTGCCCGTCTCTGCTTCCTGTGCAGTCAGGATGCTGGGTGCTCATGGGGTGAAGTGAAGGACTTGACTGAGGAGGTCATTGGCTCAGAGGTGAAGCACTGGGCCACATTTGCTGTGGGCCCAGGCCATGGCATCCAGCTGCAGTCAGGAAGGCTGATCATTCCCACCTACGCCTACTATTTCTCACGCAGGTTCCTCTGCTTCCCGTGTTCAGTCAAGCCCCATTCCCTGATGATCTACAGTGATGACTTAGGAGTCACATGGCACCATGGCAAGCTCATTGGGCCCCAGGTGACAGGGGAGTGCCAAGTGGCAGAAGTGACTGGGACGTCTGGTAACCTTGTGCTCTACTGCAATGCCCGGACACCAAACAGATTCCGAGCAGAATCTTTTAGTACTGATTACGGTGACTGTTTTCAGAAACCAACCCTGAACACACAACTCTGTGAGCCCCGCTATGGCTGCCAAGGCAGTATAGTGAGCTTCCAGCCCTTGAAGATGCCATTCTCACAAGACCCAATTGGTAAAGCTGCTCCCACTACTCAGAAGAGCCCTCTGCTGGACAGTTTTCTGGAGCGGGAGGAAGGAGTTGGAAGACCATCAGGAACATGGCTCTTGTACTCACATCCAACTAGCAAGAAGCGGAGAATTAACCTGGGCATCTACTACAACCGGAACCCCTTGGAGGTGACCTGCTGGTCCCGCCCTTGGATCTTGCACTGTGGGCCCTGTGGCTACTCTGATCTGGCTGTTGTGGAAGAGCAGGGCTTATTTGCATGTTTGTTTGAATGTGGGCAGGAGCATGAGTGTGAGCAGATTGCCTTCCGTCTATTTTCAGTCCAAGAGGTTTTGAGCTGTGAAGACTGCACTGGCCCTAGTAGGGACTAAAGCCAAATCAAGCCTGATGGGTGAGGACCCAACTTTCCTCAGAAGTGAATGGCAACTGCAGCTGGGATAACATGGGTCACTGATGTCTACAGAAAATCCAAAAACTAATACTTCGCTCCTTGTACTTTTCACTTTTCCCTTTCCAATGAGCCAAGAGAAATGTGTGCCTTATCTTACACAGCAATAAGGGTGTTGAACTGGGAGTTTGGAGACAATGGTGTGGTTTTGGCTTGCTTTAGGACTGTGGATATATCCCCTGAACTCTGGGCATCAGGTCTCCATTTGTAAAATGACAAGGGTGGTTTGTGATTTCTTGTCTTCCCATTAAAAGGAGTGTTCACTTCTTGTCCCACAAACCCTGGATTCTGCTCTTGAGTAAAAGCCATAGACTTATCTTTTCAAATGACTCACTACTCACCTGAGTATGAGGTGACATATAGATGCTTTGGCCAGAAGAAAGATCTTCATTGTTGTTTTTAATCAGGAAAATGCCCTTATCCCTCTAATCATGCCTGGAGCTCTGCATGTTCTCTATCCTGAAGGACTGAGAGCAGAACTGTGAAGTCGCTGCTTCACACACAGAAATGAGATGGAGAATTGAGAAAGACATCTGAGAGTCAACTTCTGACATCCGCATGTGCCCTATGTGTACAAGAGCACCTGTGCACACACATGCATGCACATACCACACACACACACACACACACACACACAACACACACACACACACACACACACACACACACACACACACACACACGGAGGCAAAACAGCCATACACAGTTCTCTTGTCCCTTGGCTCAAGTCCCTTTGTGGCTCTCCATTGTTTACTAAAGGATGGTTACAAGGCAGCCTGGTGTGCAGACCTTCCTTCCAGGTTGAGGGGAAAGGAATGAATGCACACATACTTTCCTTCACTCTTATGTGAAGCCCACTCACTGTCAGTCAGGGGAGACCTCTCTCCAGGTGGGAAGTAAAGAGCAGCCATGGCCTAAGTAAGTATGATCAGGACAAGTGGTAGCCAGGGCAGTTGGGGAAAGGGAGAGGGTGAAAAGAGAATCAGCCTCCTGAGAGGTAGGAGCGCACTGTAGAGCCCAGTTTTCCTCACACTATACTAGATTAGGGTGGGCACAGTGGCTAAGTTCTGTGGCTAGAGATAAAGGATGAAAAACAGTATTGGGATTTATGTGGGAATGTCCAGGAAGGGAGTCAAGGAAGGGGCTTAATCGCTCACCAACCTGAATGCCGCTTCTCTCATTGCCCTTCCCCACTTGTTTTGTGTTTGTATCTACTTAGGGACTAGCTATAAATTCCTTAACTGGGAAATGGACCATTGTGCTTCTGTAGGAAAAAGTAAGAAAAGAGGGTTAGGAACACAGGAAACTAGAACACAGAACACAGACCACTAGAGACAGAGTGGGTGACAGCAGCTGGGAAGGGCAAGAACAGCAGACATAAGACCCTGTGTTTTAGGAAGAGATGCAGATGTGAGGTCCTGGCTTTGAGGGGTGGTGTAGAGGAGGAAATCAGGTCAAAGCTGTTGTCCTGAAACCAGCAGGAGGGCAGAGAGAACTCCACAGGCCTGTAGCTCAGCCTGTGGAGGAGGTCCAACCCAAACCACTTAGCAGTCTTCGCTTGTTCATTTTCTCCTAAGCAACAAAGACTGTGGGCACTCCAGTTTTGCCAGTCACTTGCCAGTTTTCAGGGCCCTGGGACCTATCTCATGCTGTGGTAACAATTGCTGAAGCTGCTTCAGCTGTCTTCAGGTTGGTGGAGTAGAGAAGACAGGACTGGCAGTTACACCTGTGAAGGAAAATAAAGCAGAAAGGGGGCTGGTAGCATAGGTGTGAAGAGAAGCCCGTGCAGCCTTTGATCTTTTGCCCTCGGAGCGTCCAAGTCTGCCCCTGAGTTCTTTAGAATGGAGCGGTGCAGCACAGCAGCCCACCACAGGAGTTCCAGAGAAAAGGCCTCCTGTCCACGCACCTTCTTCCGGCTCTGCTCATAATAGTCACCTTAATAGTCACCGCAGGTTTGTGTTGTCTGGTGCTGCATTTGAACCCTCCTCCTCCCTCTCTCTCTGGGATAAATATAAATAAAAGTATATTTATACATATACTTGTGAAAGCTATCAGAAATGAGATTGTTGGGTCAGAGGCTAAATACACTTTTTACTTTGAAAATTATATTAGTCAGCTTTGCACTACTGTAACAAATACCTGGTGACAGTGGGACCTTCTTGTGATAAGACAGTACAGTGAAATTATTTATTTTACTAGGTTGGAGATCAAAGGTATGGCCTTGCCTAGTTTACAACAGCGCTCTTCCAGTAATCTTAATTTCTAGTTTATGGTAAAATCTTTAAAAAATTATTTACAATTTATTGACAGTTCTATTCAATGTGTATTGATCATATTTACCATACCTCCCCTGATTCCAGATCCATAGCCTCATTTCCTACCCACCCAACTTTGTGGTTTTTATTAATTTATTTTATACATTCCAATCCCAGTTCTCCCTCCCTCCTCCCGCTCCCTCCTCCCATCTGCTCCATGGAGAGGGTAAGGCCTCCCATAGGAAGTCTACTAAGTCTGTCCCATCATCTAGTTGAGGCAGGACCGAGGCACCTCTCTACCCCCACACCCCTGTTGGATTGTGTCTCTTGATCATGAGTCTCTCCTCAGAGTGACAGAGGATGTCATGAAGCCTCAGAGTGAACTCAAGAACCCACAGAGGTCAACCTGAGGCTGAAGGATTGATGATCTCCATCCAGCCCTGTTCAGCTCATCACTCTTCTCCAGTGGGCTGTGTCATCCCTCAGTGCAGCTCAAGTCACATTCTGAGCCTCCCATTGGTCCTTCCATGGGCTGCCAGGGGGTCCTTCAGACCTCTGCTAGGTGGGGTGGAGGAACCCCTTTCCCTTTTTACCCCTGAATCCTAACTTATCTATAATAGGGTTTTCCTATCACATTCTGAATTCCTTGAAAGTAATTGTTGTCTGATCCCTTTCTTTGTCCTCTGTCCCCAGCAGCGGGAAAGATAGGCTGAATGAATGAATGAATGAATGAATGAATGAATGAATGAAGAGTGAGTCAGAGATTCTTGGCTTACTTTAGCTGCATCCTCCCCTCTCCTCCTACATTCAGACCCTGCTGATCAGTCACTGAAAGCTGTGTGTGCTAGCCTGGTTCTGGGTTCGGTACGATGCTCCTTGGAGCTGGACTTTGATCTAGGTTGAGCCTGGTCTTGCCTTGTGAGATGTCCCAAGCCTAAAGCCAAGCTATGATGTGTGGGGTTCTCATTTCAATAGTATTTTCCTTTTGTCCCTGATTGGATTTCCCATGACTGTCTCTCCTCCAGGATTCCAAGGGAGATGCTGAACTCATCATGTTCTGAGTGTGTCTTGCTTGACTCTGTGATGCCAGCATCAGACACATCACTGTACCACAATCATTACCATCACTTAGAACAGTGTTTCTCAAACTGTGGGTTGGGACCCCTTGGGGTCAAATGACCCTTTCACAGAGGTTGCCCAAGACCATCAGAAAACACAGATATTTACATTGCAATTCATAAAGATAGAAAAATTACAGTAATGAAGTAGCAATGAACATAATTTTATGGTTGGGGGTCACCACAACAGCAGAAACTGTATTAAAGGGTGGCAGCATTGGGAAGGTTAAGAACCACTGGCTTAGAACCAATAAAGATGCTAAAAGGTCTTCATTCCAGTGATCAGTGGTCTGAAATGATCATCATCTTAATACCTATTAATAGTTCATAGCCAACATTTTTTCAAAAAATAAATTTGAGGTCATTTATTCTTTTCATGAGAACTTTTAACTTTAATACTCTTGTGTTTTCATACTTTTTTGTTGCTGTTTTTGGCTTTTGAAGACAGGGTTTCTCCGTGTAGCAGTCCTGACTTTCTAGAACAGGCTTTGTAGACCAGGCTGGCCTTGAACCCACAGAGATCTGCCTGCCTCTGCCTCCCAGTGCTGGGATTAAAGGCCTGTGCCACCACTGCCTGGTTTATACATTGTTGTTTGACTAGCTGGAAGGAAACAGGGCCAGGGATGCTCATGGCGTTGCTGGGCTTGACCAACTATTTCAACACAACTCCATATGTTCTCTCAGTGAGTCCATGTGTTTTCTAGAATTCATGTTTGGAAAAGCTTCAAGTGAGCATAGCAATTTTCATAATGCTGAGACTCTCCCAAGGACAAAAGTATCATCCAGAGAATACTAACCTCTTCAATAATCTTACGATCATTGTTTACATAATCATGTAAAGCAAGAGATCTGACCTATTTATTTTTACATTTTTGTTAGGTTGGGCCATGCTGGGCTTGTGCGCTTGAGGGGAATATTCAAATCTGCAAGCCTTGGCGGTTCAATTTATTTAACTCATTTAATAGTTTATTAAGACTCATTAAATAATTATTAACAAATTTGATCCTGGTCCTTTGAATGTTCCAAACACTGTAGGTAGTATTTGAAACATGATTATTCCAGTTATATGCCACTGTTTTAACAAAGTGGGGTCCAAAAACCCAACCACCTGAACACATGCTTAACTTACTACCTCAAGGAGCAAAAGGGCCATGGGGTAGACCAGATTGACCAGGGAGTCCACAGAAGTGCTTAGCAGTGTGAAAAGCAGAGCGGGGGGTGGGAAGGCACCTTTATCCTATCCTTGGTCTCCATTGTCCTCGGTACAGGCAGCATTTGAGTCTGGAATGAAGACAATGAGGTGATGAAGAAGGAAAGAAGGCAGCCCCCCATCCCCACCGTGTGCTGGTTCCTTCCAGGAAAGTGGCTCATCTTAGAATCCCAGGATAGTAGCATTGTTTTCCTCCCAAGAACCTGCTTTCCAAGACCCAGAGTTGTCCTAAAGATGGATTTTATTATCAGCAACTGGGAAGAGACTCAGAAATGAGAACATGAGTCCCCTTAAGGGCGAAGCATAGAGGTGGATAGCAGTGAAGGCTGATGCAGTGCCAGCCAACAAGCCTGTAGGCACCAGGCAGCTCTCAGAGCCACAACTTGGAGAGAAATCTTGTTTTGTGCAATACTACCTCTGCCTTTCTCCATTGCTGGGTCAGTCTCTGGAGCTGTGTAAGCCTGGGCCTCTGTATGCAATTTGGATGGCTCTCCTCACATTATTCTGAACACACACACACACACACACACACACACACACACACACACACACACACACA